CTCTGTTTCTAGATTACGTGTTATAAAATTTTTCAGCCTTGTTTCAGCTATCAAATACAATTATCAATTTTAGCTTCACGATTTTGTGTAATTTTGCTTAATTTATGACATCGCTATATCTCGTTTGCCGATTGTATTTATTTGTTTTTTTTTGTGTTAGTTCTACACATGTATAGTCGGTGGAAGAGACATAGTAGAGTCATAAACTAAGTGAAACGAGAAAATGGGACATTCATACAATTTTTATTTAAATACAAATTTCGAATAACGAATAAAACGTGAATAATTCCTCTATTTTAATTTTGTATTGATTCAAGGAAGAACGTTAATTTATTAAATGAAAATTAGAATTTGCACGGTAGAATGAAATATTTCATGGTAAACAAATACAAATTTAAACGTTTAATCAAATAAACGTCACGCATAAATTGCTGTGCGTTCGCTTTATTCGTTATTTATTTTTCGAGTAACGACAAATTTCGTTAAACGTCGACTTTCTGTATCTCGTCTACCGACTATACAAATCCCTATAGATGAGACACATACATATAATATAAATGCCTTTCGATACCTTTCTGTCACTACCTCTGTAAAGTATGGAGATATACAATATATTTCGATTCGCAGGTGTAATTTTGTGAATATGGACTAGAAAATAGGACTGATCCCTAAATAATCTGTCGCAATAATTTTAATACAGAAAGTTAAACATCCATGCTATTAAAAAAAAATGATTAAGATTTTCGTTCGTATTTTCAGCTTTCTTTTTAAAACCCAATGACGTTATTTCGTTTCAGAAAAATAATTACGAAAATGAAGTTCATGAAATCTGTTTCAAAGTATATTACAAAATTAAGGTGGATATTTGACCACAAATAACATGAAACATCAGTATAATGGAAATGTATAAACGGAATGAATATTGCGGGAGCGTCTTAATAGCAATATGGACCGCAGGACAAACTAGTGAGCTAGGACCTTTAGTTTGTTTAGACTTTTAGATATCGCATACTAAAAACACATTAACCATCACGTGTAACGTGATATCACTTTCACAACTATATAGGGTGTTCAGGCTATTACTAACCAGCGTTTTTTTCGTAAATGGTACATATGACACAAAAATGAAAGAGGAAAAATTTATACTCTTTTTTGTGTGCAAAGTAACTAGGCATATACAGGGTGTCCCAAAAATGTTGTAACACCTTGAAAGAGGTGGTTCGGGAGGTGATTTGAAACAACTTTTTCCTTAGCGAAAATGTTGTCCGAAGCTTCGTTGAGGAGATATTAACGGAAAACACTGACCAATCAGAGCGCGGCCGCCTAGCGCGTACCCACGCCTACCGCGGGCGGTCCACCGGCATACTCACGCTCTGATTGGTCAGTGTTTTTCGTTAATATCTCCTCAACGAAGCCTCGGACAACATTTTCGCTAAGGAAAAAGTTGTTTCAAATCATATCCCGAACCACCCCTTTCAAGGTGTTACAACATTTTTCGTATTTGTACTATTTTCTGAGAAATAAAGGTGCCCTTCAGTTTTTTACCTGGTTACATTGCACACAAGTAACAGAATCACTTTTTCCTCTTTCAGTATTTTGTCATATGTACTATACACGAGAAAAACGTTGGCTAGTTATAGCCTGAACACCCTGTATGTATTCGTACCACAGATGTGTTCCACGTATCAAACATTTGCATAGAGCTCACCGTTCAAGTATCCTGCGCGCTCATAGCTTAAGACGGCACTGTCTCGAAGTGCTTTGATACAATTAATTGTTCATTTAAGGGATGATTCCAAAGGCGTTGGTACCATGAGTAATAGTTAGAACCTATTAAATTATATAATGAAATTGACGGTAACAGAATTATTCGATCTCCTGGCGATTGCATTTAGATCGTCGAATAATTCTCATAATTTTCAATCCAAGTGTGTAACGCAATGGATTTAACGATTTAATTAATCAGTTAATTCTTTCATACGAATAACGTGGTAGAGAACTTTCGCTGAGAATTTTCAAGAATAATATTACAAGAGAGTTATGCAATTTGTTGTTTGTATGAAGCAGCAACAAAGTATACAGTCTAATTGTATATGTACATTTAGAAAATGTAAATTTTCAATATTTGATTCTCCTTTGTCTATGGAGAAATAAATAGATTTCTCAATTTTTAGCATTGTTCAATCTCTTCTTATTATTTATTTCATTTCATTTGACGTACCGTTTATAAATGTTCTTTTTTTTTTGCGAATTGAAAATGAAAAAATTCGAATAACTAACGAATATTAAAAATAATTAATCGAAAAATAGATACATTTGATGTTTTTCAAAAAACTTATTTTTTCATTTGCTTTTCAATTCGTGTTTCGATTTTACAATTGAACGAATTCCAAATTGAATATCAAAAATTATAATTATATGAAAAACTATTAGTTATTTCAAAAAATAGAAATTTATGCAGGCTTCCGTCGGCCACAAATCATCTTCCAAACGAATGATCATTTGCGGATTTTAGTTAAGTGTGTACTTATTATACAGTATAATAATAACCTATCTATACGTCGCAATTAGCATAACGTTGATAAATTTATTTCGGCGTGCAGTCGTACACTGTTCTTCTTCTATATAAATTTGCATCTTTCCCTGATAAAAACCACATTATCATAATTATCGGTATCGTATGCTGCTGAACAAACAAACAAATTACATCATCGTTGGAAAAACAATTTAAATGTCAATAGTCATCACCTCAAACCAACTGTTACATTCGTGACTTCATTCTCGGTTAATTTGTTCAGTTTACCCTTTTCTAAACAGTAATATCGAGCTTTGTGGATATGTCGCTTTTGCTATGGTGACTATTAACCCTCTGGTGGAATCATTTTCATCGTATGTCCGTCAGAGCATCCATAATCACCGCTGTTTATTTTTTTTTTTTTGTTTGGTTATCGGTACTTTCTAATACTTACCATCGTATCTATTAAGTTACACATATATTTGTTTTTCGATAAGAGGTCGGTAACACATTAATTGTAATTATTACTTATTTTGATGCTTATCGATATTCGCTAAGAATATTACTTATTGTTTCCTTGTTACAACGATACACTCAGAACATCGTTAAGTTCAAGTTCGGCGAGAGTTATTTGACATACAATTCTGCATAAATTTCAAGCGTGAAATGTCTGTTGCTTTTGATTTTTAGCCTGTCTGCTTTGAAACTTCTTTCTTTCATTTCGAAAATATACAATAGGAGATCAATGATTTGTTCGATCGTTAACTTCGCATATACATATGTATATATACAATGTACGTTAAAAGTGCAAATACCCCTCGCCATGGAAGTACTGATGTATGAAATATAGCATCGTGATGTTTCGCGACATCGGAATCCTTGTAAGATTAAGTTCAACAGAGCTAGCTTTGGAATTCATATTTGTTCATAGACTATTGCTTCAAAAGCTATGGTAGTTTCTACGTTCAGCAGACAATTGAAGAAACACTGTTTTACATTTGTGCCTATGCTAGGCTATGCTTGGCTAATCAGTGTTGAAAGGATGCAGTCGCGAAGATTAATCTATCAATTTAAAATAAATTAGATAATTGATAATAAGATACATTTGATAGCACGATTAAGCGATTAATCACAGAAAATTAGATTCGTTACAGGTTACTTTGATCAAGTGAAGCCCTTGTGTATTTTACCATTTTGATGTTTCATCCTTCGTACAATTTTGTTTATTAGACTTTGTGAACTTTGTTTCAACCCTTGTTTTAAATTGTCGTAGGGAAACTATAATGTTTCAATGAAAATTACAATTGATTTAAGTATAAATTTGAAAGTTATTTCAAGTATGTTTCCAAATATATTTTTAAATCAATTTAATTATCATTCAGAAATTTTTAGTTTCATGATGGAGACCTAAAAGGGAGACCAAAGTCTTGAGATTGAAAAAAGAAAAATACCTTTGTGAATGTTTTCACAAGTCTAATAAATAAAATTGTTTTTCGCATATTATCAATAGTACTACAGAACAATAAAACATCCATTCAGTTTTATTATATAAATTCTATCTTTCATAATTATCGAAGATGTATATATATTCAGCAGATTAATTAAATCTTTATAATACAAGTGAATGTATTATTGAATACATTATTTGGTACATTTAAAGTATAAGACAGTATTAAACTATTAGATATAAGTGATTTCATTAAGAGCAATTTTTTCATATTATCTGCAAGACTAAGAAAAATTAAATAACTAATGTACCTATACCATACACATTTGAAACTGCAAGTACAACTTATGACATTCAAAGTCTAATTTGTTCATTATCTGCAGATTTATAAAGCAGTTTATAATTTTTCTACAGGCTTCCATGTGTATTCATAGAGAATTAGATCTCGAGTATTAGTCTGGGTGTAAGAAATTTAAGGAACACTTTCTTGAGACTATGTTCAAGTTTAAGATATTATAATATAACAAAGTTACCAATGAGATGTAGATAATATATTTAGTATGTCTTTTAAACTGTTCGAAATATGTATGAGACTGAAATCTGTTTAGTAACAATTATGTATTTGCTTTGGTTAGGATGATAACATTGATTTAACAAAATATTTCAGTATACAAAATGTAAAGAATATTACTCAAACTCCTCTGATGTAGATCTAATTACATATGTATGTATCTAATGCTCTAACAAGAATTTTGAAGAAAAAAGCCTCAAAAATATCTTATTATCAATCCAATTATGAAAATCAATTCACTTTCATCATAATTTGTTCACCTACTGCGAAATAACCTAACGTTTTTTTATCTAATAGACTGACCGAGTCTAAGATTTCGTTGCATATTCACTGTTTTATCTCACTCATGTTTTGTTAGCATTAGCGTTACCTTAAAGATGAATACTTACACATTTACTTATAATATACACGAAAATTTTGTTAATAATATGTCACGAAAGAATCGATAGAAAATAGATGCAATGGTGATTAATTCAATTGCATTACATTTAAACAGACTTTCGAGGGAACCACTTTGACAGGAACTATTAACAGAAATTTTAAAAGCGGTGACATAATTAAAAATATAAATGTATTCATGTCAGGAATCATGTAGGATGTTGACAGTGCGATACGAAAGAAAAGATGCATTAAATTCCAGAAAAAAATGACGATGATTGTATTAAAGAAAAATACAAAAAACAAAAACAACAAAATTGAACGTAATAAAGAAGTTGCCCCCAAAATTACGTATGAAGCAAAACACGCAAATAGCTCACAGCAAAAGAAGTCGAAAATATTTTTAATATTTGCAATCTCAGGCTTTGCGTTTAAAATACGAATAAGTAAGGTTATTTAAATACTATACATTTACATGTATAGGTAGATACTAGATACACGTTTATCTACAATGCACTGTTGACAGTAAATATCCCAGAAATCTCCAATATATTTGATGCGTCATTGTAGTGGAAGATTAATCATACAAATTGACTTACATCTCGAAAATAAAGCCTCAGATTGGAAAACGATAACAGACTTTTCGATTTCCTTTGTTACAAGGTAGTTGCGCGTATTTGTTGGTTGTACAATTTTGGGAATCCCTATACAATGGATTGTTGTCTACAACGTGAGAACGTAACATGGCATCACAATAATTTGAACGAACTCAACAATGTATAAGCTTAATACGTTATGCGTAAAGTTAATGCAGAGATACTATACTGTATATATACAATTACGAATAATAGAAGACACTCGCGTACATACAAGAAATTATGAATACAGTCAAACTATTTACAACGTTAATAAAGTTCCTCTTAGCCTTAGATTAGACGAATCATTTATATGTAGCAACTATTCCAACTGAATTGTGTTCTTATCACGCGTACTAGCACACACTCATACGTATAGATTCTCGTCCGAAACAAATCCAAATTGGGTATCGTCGCATTTATACTCTTTCGTGTATCATCGGCACCAGCGATATTCTTCGTTAAAAAATTTGTAGCTAAGACTGATTTTTGTCCCCCCTTTTTTTTCCATTGATTATGGCTGAGATTAACAGAGTGCGTGTCTATTCACACAACAGTTTCAACGTTCGTCACTCCTGTGATTTTAATATTGAAAGCTACGTTACGTATGTATACTTGGTGCACGTCATGAAATTGACAACTGTTTTATCGGATTTATATATAATAGCAAACTTTCTAGCTACACTTCGAGAGTAATAACTTGTTCTTTTTGTTTTTGTTTGCGGTGTTTAAGTATTTGTAAGATTTAATTAACCGTTTATGCTTATAGACCGACACCAACTATCAACTGCTTAGGCCTTTTTAACGTGAATAATAAGTGGGTACGACTATTACGATCGTACGTAAAACGCGTTAACATGCAGATGACAGTTTTTTTTTCTTTTTCTTTTTTTTAATCTCTTAAGCCCGATTATCATAGCTTTGCCGACGAGTGTTGTATATAAGACATTTAGTATTAAAACGTGAGCCCGGAGAAACGTTAATAAGCGGATATTCATTCAGAATAAATTCAATTTTTTCATGTGAGAAAAAATAAACGTAATGTTCCTCTAATAGTTCATGGTAACCTCTTGACTTATTTAACTTGTTTATTCGTCAAAACAGTTTCCAATTATTTTCGTCTTTTTCAGTGATATATTATGAACACACTGGTATTTTATTTTTTTATAATATTTTATACAAGAATTACAGAGAAAGATATAAATTACTTTTTGGATGTAAAAAATATAAGAAATTAAATTTGTAATATTCAAAGACAGTTGACTGGCTATTGAGAAACGGATGTGATAGTTGCAAAAGCTAAGGAAAGATATTTTTTCAATTCGCGAAACATTTAACATGACATTTCTAAGGATAAGTTCAACCCATTTATAAATTTGTTTTGAGGTACATACATGAAAGTATCAATTATGTGTTTTCACGTATTTACGCATCGTGTTAATAATAAAGCTAAGATATGTTTGTTTGTAATAGTGACAAACAACTAAGTGAAATTAACAATTCTTCATTCAATTTTAGCATTGCGCATAAAATGCCACATTTTCGTGTCACGTGTGTATTTAAATTGTGCATAAATAAATCTGTTCATTTGACATTTTACCTTTAGTAAGAATTAAAAAAGTTAAATAAATCGAGTTAATGCTCGAAACAACTAGAAGAACATTAAGTCTAGATATTCATTCATTGTCTAATACGAGGCACACACAGACAGCCAGGCGGTGTGATTCACCTTAGAAGATTAAAACTTGATGCACTCTATCACGCTCTAATACATTTAACGAAGAGTAAAAAATGGGATAAGTGTGTGTGTTTTTTTTTTCTTAATAAAATTAATTTGATCAGATTCTTTCACTTTATCGGAATGTATCGTGAAAGAAAGGAAAATTCTCACTTTCACCATTGAAAACTAAACGTACGTAACTCTGGTAGCAAAAGCCATCGAAGGTGTTTAATATCACGGTAAAATACAAAGGTGATGTTAAGGTTTTTCAATTCAATTCTTTCGTTACGATCGTGGTGTCACATTTAATTTACCCATATTTCTGGATAACCATTCGACTTAAAGCTGAAAGCTTGGATACCTATTAACAAGTTCCCAACAAAAAGTGTTCTCTATAATCATATACAATAGTATATGTAACAGTTACGCTCAGTCGTGCCATGTGTTCGTAAAAGCACCATCGAGGCGCTGATCTGAAACTACGATGGCTCTACAATAATTAACGTAATTGGTGTTTCTTCCTTGCGCAGTCAACAGTTCACTGTTGACGGTTGAAAAGTTTTTCTATCTACGATAAAGCTATATAATGGACGTATACATATATATATGTATATATCTATGTATATGTATATATCATATTATATGTATATATCTAAATAAGTTAAAAAAAAGAAGAACACCTACTACTTTTTACATTTCGCTGATTAAAGGCAAATAAATAAATAATTTTTATATAGACATAGATATAGATTAGTTAAAAGTGAGGGTACTTTTCCCCTTATGCTACAGTAAGCATCGTTACAGCTGCATCCTTTAAATATATGTTGCATAGGTCCATAGCAAATACGATTTCTCCATACTGTCTTATGGCAAAAGGATAAAACACTACAAAAATGCATCGAGACATTATCGAGCTAGCTAATTCACTTAAAGTCTCCCTAACGTTTACAACTTTAACGTTTCGATTCAATCGATATTCCGTATACACAATTATATTAAATAAAACGAATACATAAAAATTCCAATTTAATTTAAACGCGTGATTTGTGTTTTACATTTCCCTTCATGAATACGGATTGTATCAGGAAGATTTTCATAAAGTAAAATACAACCTCACAGAGGCTGTTGAAACGGTATAGATCTTGCTAACCCTTTCACCGCCCTCGAGGTGCTATAAGGTTTCGTTTGATTCATAATTAAGCATTTACCTAAATACCATAAATATAAACATTCTAATTTACTGGTTCAGCCTTTCGATTTTGAGACACAGGCAGTGAAAGGGTTAGATATATTCTAGTTCTGCGACTGTGTTTTTTTACCACCACGTGGTTTGATGCTTTCCGAAATTTGCCACATTGCCTCCTCACAGAGGAAATCGCTGAAATTATTGAAGAACGTTATTATACGTTCGTGCTTCTTGAACGAATACGTCCTGTAACAAGCAACGAATTCACGGTTCTTGAAAAGATTACCCAACAGTGGCGTACGCCTTAAATTAATGTTAAAAGTGTCCTTACCCTTTTTTGAACCTCTTCATATTTTCAACGATATTAAACTGCTGCCATCTCTTTGAAAAATTTATAGTGCCATCCGGTAATAGATCACTGTTTCCAATATGCACGAACGTAAGATCTTGTAACACGAGTCCGCTAAACATAGGAAAACAAGTTGTTTGAATAAAAATTTTCGGAGGACTTGGTTTTCAAATTATTGGAACAATATAATAAATATTCTTACATATATGGAATACACGGCGGCTGCGTTTCAGCTAGAGCTTGTCTGTAAGCCCTGAAACTGCTGGAACTATCGATAAGAGCACAGTATTCCTTCAAGCCTTCTGTAATATGTTTCTGCCACTCGAGCCTTCTAATAGGCGCGCTATCCAGTGCAGACAGCAACGCTAAATAGCTATTAAAATTATTTATTTTTCTAAGGTGTTTCATTATTTTAATAAATTTAACCACGTATTTCTCTCTGTCTTTCGCTTCATTTTCTAATCTATGCTCCAATATCCTCGATCTGGCCCAGTATGACATTTTGTTAAAATGTTCCGTGAACCTGGTTAGATTTGGACTTCGTTCTTCATTTTGTTCTTGGGCCCAGATCAACACTTCCGGTATCTCGATTTTCATGAACAAATCCGCGTCTAATAGTGTCATTTGCTCGGCTATTTGTTCACTCTTGAAGTCGAGGAGAGAAGCTTGCTTCGTTGTTACGCTCAGGGAAGAAAGAATTGGTTGCGTCGCCTGTAACTGTTTTGCTTGGTGTTTCTCCAAAATTTTCACGCGTAGAGCTTTTGCCATGGTAAGGTCACCACTACATACTAACTGTTGCACGAATTCCATCAAGGTTTGGAGGAGGGTATCATCGAGATCAGACATGCTAAAAATATTCAATATTTTCTACTTATTTGGAATTGTCTTGAGTATAAAGTGATTTGTATAAGTAACTTTTTATTATTAGATTATATAATGTAGCTTAGGTGGGTGAGTGTTTTTAGTGGGTAGGCCTTGGGAGACAGACGCTGAGCTATTGCTCGGTGACCACCACCCGAGGAGAGCCCAACGTAATCCCCCCCCGGGAGAACCCGGATATGCGTAATGCATTTTCACTCGGAAAATTATTCTTTGTTTTGGTACAGGTGCTGAGTGTGTGTCAAGGTTATCGTCGTTTTTTGAAATGTAATAATGAAATCTTTTTGCACATTATTAACAAGATATATATATATAAATAATAATTTATTTCTACAGATATGAAGACCGTGATATGTTTGTCGAAAGTTCTGATTTCAACAAAGATATGCTTGTACGGACTAACAATATGTATAATTTTATTGAATCTAATTAATATGTCTCATATTGACTTACGTTAAATCGCTAACAACTCTAACTAATAAGGAAAACGCTTCCCGCGCTGCCCGTTGCTTAACGATGTCAGCGGAGCAAGAAAATCGTTGATGACGTCTATGTAATTTTTGAATTAATTCAAGCGGCTGCATAAAAGTCCTGTATGTTGTCAAGAATGCTTCCTGATACAAAAAGTCTGTAAAGAGAACGAGTATTTAAAAATATGAAATTGTTAAATATTCATTTTAACTTGAAATTTTTAATAATGTTATCAAAATGATAAACACTATGAGTTTTTGTTTTTTTTTTTAAAGAAAAATAATGAGATTTACTTTTTTTTTTAAATTAAATAACAATAATTACTTGTGACTAATACGATGCAAACTAGTTCAATCAATTATTGCAATAACAATTTAAAAATACACAACAGGAGAAAAGAAAATTCGATAAATTATTACACTGACCTGACTCTTTTTCATCTATGAAGCATGAAAAAAAATGTAATGAATTATATTTTCTGACAAAGGTTTGCTCGTTGAATAATGAAAATAGTCTTTACCGTGTTTATTAGCTTTAGTTGCATGAATTAACAACGCATCTGGATGCCCTCCCCGTATGTCTGGTCCTTCTTCGTCAGGCTTTTTAAAGACTAAGTGCTTGCTGATGTCCAGTTCATCCAAAATGCTGTCATCTTGCTCAACGTCTCTTAATTCGAGAGTATTTTCATCGACTGATATCGATGACAGTGCATTACTCGCGGGTCTCGAAGGTGGCAATATCGTATCTAAGGTAATGTTGTTCTAAAAATAAGATATTTATGGTGAACACTGTCGATGGTCCAATATCTATTATATGTACATATTACTGCATTTTTTAAATTAAAGTAAAAGGATTTATTGATTTATAATAGAAGAATAGACTAATATGAAATAGGATTTTGAAATGCATGGATCAAATTGACTGGATTGATAGTTCTCCTTTTAATAGAGATGAGCTTGACACATTAATATCATAAATGAATACAAATTGTATGCTACGCGAGATTTATCGAATATGTTTACATTTTGTTGGTATTACTTACCAGCTTCGTGGGTGTCGAAGGTGTGAGATCCTTCTTCTCGTGAACACAGATAGCTTCTTCTGCTTTCACTGGAGTTGACGTCACAATTGGATCCATTATGTGTATACTTTGCATGCTGATGGTAGGTTTTGGTGAAATTGGAGGAGGTGTTGCATTTGATTTAATGGAACGGGATCTCTTTGGTGGCAATGCTGGAGGGAGACTAGAATTGTTTGTTACTTCGGTTACCGGCGGTGTCATTGTTATGGAGGTACTAAAAGAAACAAATAAGAGTTACTTTTCCATTTTCCTTAATGACACACAGGCAGCATTATAAACTCACGCATGGGTTTACATTAAATCACATACTTTGAGTTATCGTGCAACGTGGTCATAGTATGCGCCATGAAAGAACATGACTGTGTTGTGGTAAGGGCCATCTCGTGTTGTTGCCATTCTGCTTGCATTGAATTATAAGCTGCCACTGAATGGCGCGTCCCAAGACCAGATATGAAGTCATTGTTACTATGAGAACAGTTCCCAAACATCTCCATGTATGCCATGACTGAAATAGACGCAATCGGGTTTACATAACTTTAAGAATCTATTAGACACTTACGGCGAGATAATATAAAGATAAATAAAACTGTGACTTTATGATGTATAATACATATTATAGGTACAAGCATGATCCATGTTACGATAAAGTATTTTAAAACATAAGTAAATAAAATACATAAAAACACTGATGCACAGGCATATACTTTGATACGTTATTATGAAAATTCGCGGGAATAGAATTCACATAAACTTACTGGAATACGAATGAAATCGTTTGAACAACATCTTTGCAACGATTATAAGTTGTGTTTTCCGGAATCAGGCGGTTATATTTTGTTAAGTAAAGTATCACAGTAATACAAACGTAAACGATCTCAGACAATTTTAAGAAAATTTTACATTTCAGAAGAGTTCTCCTCCGTCGATTCTTCACGCACAATCGTGAAAACGAAAACTGAACGCTCCGGCGCTGTTTCAGAGTTAAAGAAGCATAAGTGTTAACTGACTATTAGCAAGGAAAGGTCAATTTAATTAGTGAAACAATGTCGGCGCCCACGTAAGTAGTTAAAGATTAGTTTCTACTGTTAATGAAAATTAGCACCAGTTGACGAAAATATTATGAAGTGCAATAATGAACGTTTATTAATTACGAATTAAACATATAGAAATTTATTTCACGAAATATTTTAATTGGAAAATAATAGGAAACAGTTTTAAGAACATGATAAAATAGTGAAGTTGAATATTACTTCCTGCTTTGAATGTTACATCGTGTATATTAAGATGTAAGCCATCGAAATGCTGACGATGTATGAATAAATTATCCAAGCTTATTGCCAAACGATATGTTACGTTTTAAATAATTTCGACAAAATGAGATTAAAAAGAAGATATGTACATGCCGCAAAAAGCTAGGAGCTTAAAATCGTGTATGAATGCGTGAAACGAAGGATTTCAACTTAGCGTGAAAGTGTTTGCTGTGGGATAGCTGATTTGTGTGGGCAGGACCCCACTTACCAGAATATGCCACTGATTGGAACACTGGGGGATACAAAATAATTTATCAGTTTTAACCTATTACCAGGACGAAATTTCGGAATTTCTACTCTAATATAATCTAAGCAATATCCAGAACAATTATATTCCTTAAATATTCGGTACGATTTCGATCGATCTTATCATTCAAATATTTCATTATTACTTTTAAAAAAGATTATAGTGAATATTGCTTCAACAGTGATAAAGCAATAGTAGTACAAAATATGAAAATAATTGCTTGCTTTATTACTGTCTTCACTATAAATTAAGCTTAAACTTACTGTGTCTTTTTTTGAGAGGAAGTGGAGGAGGTTCACTGGCATCAGGACTATCGCCATTGCTGGTGTGTAAACTACAGGTTGATAAATGTTCGTTCTCAGGTACATTGTCGTACTGCGATGGCTGACGTTCTTTCCTTCTTTTTGAACGTTTTTCGGGCAACGCTGGTGGTATGCCGTTAGCGTCAGATGCAGAAACTGATTCAATTTCCTACACAGAGTATAAACTGGAGTATAATAAACGTATATCATAAACGTGTATCAGAAAACAAATTCTACAAACGAGAGAAAAGGACAAAGAGGCAAACTACAGAAAATACATTAATACTTTAAACATTCGCAAAATACAAATAAAAAATGAAAGCAGAAACCATTATAATGTATCAATTATGCAGGGTGATTCAAAATTGTTGTCATAAAATTTAAACATGTATCATTATGCAAGGTTATTGTAAGATATAGTCACTTTAAGATATATCATGAATCACGCTACACAATTTCAAAATAGATATAAGAATGTCAAAAATCTGTATAAATCTTGTATTGCACAATTTTGAAATACACTTATTATTTGGTTTGAATATTAATTAATTCGGGGAAATATACATAATCAAGAAATAATTTCTTTCCCGATAGATAAAATAGAATACGTGCAATAGAGAGTGACAAATTTTATCTCATCTCTTATTAGAACAAAATTTTCAGAAATCGCTGAAAAAACATAAATAGTATTTGCGATACAATTAGAAAAAAACGTAGAGTATTTGGTCATACTACATGCGTGTATGTGTGTCAGTGATTAAATATTTCTACATCCGTGTTTATCAATTTAAGATCCAAGCATTTTCTTATGTCTAATGTGTATTTTTGCATCAACCTGTATTTACACTGAATTGGAACATAAAGTAAATTATATTTATATGTACCAGCTTTTCCAACAGCCCAGGATCTCCACTTCCAGACATATTTGTTGTGCTAATAGTACTCTCGGAACTGGTCATTGTCTTCTGAGTGAATATAGACCCGTTGCTATCCGAAGATAACTTGGTATGGGAAAACGATTGTTGCTGTGAATTGAACGTCTGGGAATTGTAACTAACGCTGCTCTGCTGGGACGATCTTTTGGATGTCACACTAGAGGCGGTATAACTTTGGGATGAACTTCGTTGTGAATGCATGGACACGAAACCGGACTCTTGCGTTTGGGTAGATAAACGTTCCATTTTTCCTTCTATACCTAAAACAGAATTAGCATATGATTTAAAATAATATACTACGAATCTTATCGTAGAAAGTGATAAATTTCAAATTCAGGCCCGCTGAAAAGATTTTTCTCTCCTTACAAAAAAATGTTTTCACGTTTTTCCACTTCCAACTGGTGGACGTATTAAACTTTCCGTTTTTACAAGACTACTCTTTCGAAGACGCCTTTAGGAAAAGTGCTCTAGCTTATTCCACCGACGTGAATGAACACATCTACTATACTGTTTACTCATGTAGTCGGGAGGTCTGACGCCTACGTTACTTGCTCTGCTGGCTATTTGAAGAATTCTTGCGTAATTTTAGTTCTCACATTTTTTTCTCTACGTTTATAAATATGTTCAACGTGACTCTCGCGCGTTATCTTACTTTGGCATTGCTAACGAGTAAAGAGGAATTTTAATATTACGTACCGGTAAATGGATTAAGCATTTCATGAGGAGTTTGTTGACCTAACAGCATAGTGCTCGGTATACTTGTTTCAGAACCGTCCCAGCAACCACAGTTCGAAGTACCATTAACCTGCATGCCTGTACAAAAGAAAGGTTTATGTCTATCACTCTGACAATGTTGTTTAAACGCTTGAATAAATATGATTATGGAGTTTTAACTATATTACACCACATAATGTTTAGTTCCTCGCGTAGAATTATTTCATCGAAAATTATAAAGCTTGAAACCTTTGAAATTGCTACACTCTGCATCCAAAGACTGTTCCAGTGAGACTGGCTTGATGATTAAGACGAGAACGGTTGAGACTTATTTTGCTGACTAAGCAATGTCTCCTCACAGTGCTCTTATGGACACGTGGAAATGTACTTGCACAATCCTTGGACCGCCTTCTTAGTAAGGTTTCGTTTCCAATATCACGAACTAATATTATAATTTGATGGAATGAATTTCAAGGTATGAACTTATGTGTCAATCTATGTTTATTCAGAAGACGATTTTCTTGATCTGGGTCAAGTTGGCTATATCGTACCACTTACTTAACAAATACTTTATCTTGCCAGTTTCATTTTACTCTTAATTTATAAAGATGTTGTTGACTGTAACGAATGAATATTTAATAATCCAACATGAATTATTTATGTAATAATCCAATTTAACGAATAACCTTGTATCAAATAATTTGTTATATATTATTACACCAGGTTGTGTAATACAATTTGTATGTTAAGTTTGATAAAAATAAAACACGCAATTCGAGTGGTGTTTTTAATGTTGAATGGTTTGAAGATTTAAAGTAGACGGTCTTTTCTTGGGCTGACCGAACATATTCCTAATATATTTAAACATATCGACTTCGTTTACTTCGGTCCTCTTTGACGACAAAATATCTATAAATAATACAATTGAAATTTTAAAAAGACTAAAAATTAACAATTACAAATATTAGTAAGCCTTTAGCTTAGTAAGTCTTTAGCTGACTAAAGAAAAGTTTTATAATTTGACTTTCATTCCTTCTTGTTACAATACTGATAATTCTATAATTTAAAAATGTTTAGCTACAGTAAGGAGCAAAACTGAACGGTCCACACAAATTCTTCTGAAAAATATCCTTTATTGTTTAAATAATTTATAACAAAGAAAAATCAACATTAATAATAGTTTCGTTATAGTTTCAACAAATTTACACTACTTTGAGTGTAAATATGAATTTTGGAATTCATCAAGTTACAATCATTTGACAACAATAATTCCTAATTTTACGCACATTTATACTTCTTCGGAGTTTTTAACAACTTTCCCATCATACCGTTGATAAATAATTGTGATTTTGTAATTGCTCGAAACAACAGGAATGATGTTTTATTAATAATTTAGGTTCTTAGCTACCCCAAAATTGACCACTTTTTAACATCCTCCTTTGTATAACTGGCTCAGTTTTGTTGTTTGCTGTACTTTATCACCGATGAAAGTCTACGTAAACTACATCACAGCGTGTTTAAATATAATGAGAACATTTTTTTTCATTTTTTCAACTATATCATTTTCTATTAAAATGATATAATGGTATCCAGTGATATTGATAGAAGCATCGCTCACCCTGAATAGTAGCCATCAGGCTGAGATCCATACTGTCGTTCAGAGACTCGTCGTTTGGTCCCATGATCGCTCGTATCTCATCCTCGTCGCGAGAATGATTCAGAGCCGAATCCAAACTGCCAGCCGACGCGCTTAAAAGAGACGACGAATCCTCTGGTGATCGACTTCGAAGGGAGACCCTATCAAGACTAGATGCTAAAAGACCCTCGGACTCGTCTAGCAGCTGCTGAGCCCGTGTCCTTCGTTTCGGTGGCAAAGGCGGCGGTGTCCCGGACGAACTATTCTCCTCCGACAGACGCACGTTGGTTCTGAAATATCGTTGGCATCGGTTTTTACCCTTGTTTCGAACAAACCGATGATACCGATGAAACGATAGCATGCTCGTTGCTACAAGAAGCTTAGGGAAACTACCTCTCAGGGAGTGGTGGTTTTGGGGGTGGACTAGAATCCCTTAAAATCGACTCTGAACTATGCGAACTACGGACCAGACTAGTAGTCGCAGCGGTTTGCTCTAAAATCTGCCTTTCCCTCGGGGTTAGCGGAATATCGGGTAAGGAATTTCTTTGTGGCGTCAATTCCGACCCATAACCCGACGTTCTGAAACGATTTCAGTGATTTATTGTCAAATTTCTATAGGTACGACTACATAAACAAAGATGGAGATCGTTTCTTTAACCCATTAAGTACCAGTGTCTTACTTCTAAATAAAATTCACTACGTTTGTTCTAACTGTACAAAAATAATATACTATGAATTAAAAGACTTTTTTTTATACTTTCTACTTCATTTTTTCTAGTGTATGTATTCTCTGTTTAGAGATCAACCTCCCCTTAAGCCACCTAATTAATTTTAGTAAATGGACTTGACTTATTAGGTTGTCTCGAAAGTTTCTTTCGCGAGTTGCACTCGATTATTTTATGTGGTCGTGTTTATATAAATAGACAATCTAATTTCATAGATATTCATGTTGTAACAGTAATCCAGCAAAATGAATCGTGCACAATTCAGTAATGTAACATAAAACATAAACTATTGTACATGTATTACTTATTAATAAAGCGAAAGAAACTTTTGGGACAACCTAATATTAAAACATTACTTCAGTAATAGAAATCTAACGAGAGATCTCCGTAAATCTAGTGTTAACAAAACGGATTCTTATGTTAGTACGAATTTTTATTAAAACTATGTTTGTTTGATCATACAATGCTATTATTCGTTATTCTATGTACATCGTATGCTGGTGTTTAATTTATGGGATACGTATCTTTAAAAGAAGAAATATTTTGTATGAAGTACGGTAAAGTAATGTAATTTTCCTACTTCTAAGAGCAAACATTATTCTGAAGTTATTCTAAAGTTATTCTGAAGTTATTCTATCCTGTTTTAGATATGTCTATAAATTGGAAAAATCTTCAACGTGTATAAACTTTCATACTCAAACTCAGCGAGATTTGCTGCCATCCAATAGACTTACCTAAGACAGGATTTGTTGGAAGAACCTTATGAAAGAGTTCACATGCAAGTTCGGAATAAACTCCAATAATTTTTTACTTCTGATACAGAAAAAGTACACTTTCTTTTTAAAGAATCAGTAGGATTTTGATCAACAATTAAATATTATTCTAGAAATTTACAAATACTTTTCTTACTTATTATTTTCCAATGAATCAGAGAAGATAATATGAATGTTGATAAAAGGATAATTTGGTGCTTAATGGGTTAAAATACTGGAGCTCGGATCATTGGAGATGTTATCGAGTACCTATTACTAGTTGTGACGGCTGCAGGTTTCTGTCTGTTTGCTATTTTCTCGTTAGCCAGGGCAACCAAATTCTTCACGGCATCTTCGACTAATCCTATGATGTGCGTGACGTTTTCAGTGACCAACGCAGAAGACTGATCGCCATGTAGCAGCACATCATCGCAAAGCTTTAATAATTGCGCCAGGGCCTGGTATACTTGATTTGTCGCTGATCCCAGAGTGGAGCTTTAATAAAAGTAGAATATTAATCGTGGAGACTATAACCCTGAACGTTAGTTACAAATTTGAATGTATTATAGTCAATAATTAAAACATAGATTAAATGCGCGTTTTCCTGATGAAAACGCTACTAAACACTATGTAAATCGGACTACTTTTAACGAAGATAGACAAAAAGCGTGCAAATCATTTTTTCCGTATTATTTCCTTCGAAATAATCCGAATTGTATCGTGTCTGGTACCATTTCCATCGGGATAACATAAGGAATCGATTGGTAATACATCCGTTAAGATCCGATAAGAAATATGGAAAATGATGGTCGATCTTCTTTGGGTCTAATTTGCTACCGTCCTTTTTATGATGCCATTGTTGTCCGGCGGCGGACTAACATGTCTACTCGGAAAAGCTTGAAACCATGCGAGTTGCCCGGTTCTTTCGGGCCGCTTGATTTTTTTCCGACCGCTCGGTTCTATTCGGGTAGCTTGAAAAATTCAAGTTTACTTGGTTTCTTTCGGGTAGCTCGAATCTTTCAAGCTACTCGGTTTCTTCAAGTACTCGACTCGGCTCGGAAATCGGGTCCCGGTTTGACTCGGCTTGAATATTCGGTCTTTCCGACAGCTCTAGTCGAAACGTGTTTATCACTGTCTCGTTTCGCTTGGAACGGCTTCGAGGCGACCCTGAGGGATGTGTAACGGATAATCACCTGTTCTCGGAAAGGAGATAGGACTTCAGCACGGTGTGTATCGTGGTGACGGTGTCGAGGACGATGGTGCCATTTCCTGGCAGCATCTCGAGCTTCTTCTTCGACACGACGTCCCTGAAGTGGAGCAGTGCCAGCTGCACCTGTCGCACGTGGATATGCAGATCTCGTAGGGGATTCTTGTCGATGGTGGTTGCGGTATCGGTGCAGCCAGGCGCGCTTTTGTCACGGGGTGTTCGCGGCGAGGAGGGCGAGGCCGCCCGTGTAGCCGCCCCGCTGCCTCCGCCGCCGCTTCCGCTGCCAGGAGAACGCATGTGGGAGAGCTTCTCCAGGAAGTCCTCCTTGAAGGAGCGCGCACGACGCGCTAGTTTACCGCCACGCGCCTTCCCGCCGGACCGTTCCTCGACTTCTGAAATAATACAAGCAAATACTCCTATTAAACACTGTTCCATTTGACAGACAACAGCAAAAACACAGCAAGTGAAATGTTATAATTACACCCCCGTTCAGAAGTTAGCGAGGCAGCTCAATTGGCCGTCGCGTAATGGCGGACACCTCTACTCGCACGCATTTTCGGTATTGGCCGAGTTTAGTTACTGTCGCTGGAAGGGATCTTGTGATGAGGTCGTAAACCGAAACAGTAGTAATTGCTTTATTGGACCAGGTAACTGATCCGTAGGACGACAGGGGTGTCGCGGCTCTAAAGTATACATGCCCACGTTACATCCCGGGGCTCCAAGACTTGATGTTTGCTACGCGGGTTTCTCCAAATTGGAAAAACCGAGAACTCTTGACGATGATTGGTTAACTAAGTTCCTACCTACCACAGTATTTTCAATAAGTCATTTCAATAAGTCAATAAGTCATTGTAAGGTTTTTTATAAATAAGATACACTTTAATTGTCCTCCTTCTAGACACAAACTCGATATATTTCTCTTAATCTCCAATTATAGTCAATCGTAATGATCACACTCGCAATCGCACACCTTCCGAACGCTCTCGTAATCTCTCTTTGTCCTTCTCCTCTCTCGCTGTTCCTATTATTTATGAGAGAGCACGAGACTCTCCCACCACACACATTACCCACAAACTTATACTGTCCCTATACAGTCGCTTACATCATTATTATTAGCTTGAAACATAAATATTTGGGTGAGTTTGATTAAACTAAACTACAACCTCTTCTCCAATCCCCTAGAATGTACTTCACAAAACGAAATAGTCTTATGGTAATCGATTCATGCATCACGGAATTATGTGTGAACATACACAAGAAGAAAAAAGTTATTGAAATATGAACATCCTAATTTCGATACCATACTGCCCTGAACGAAAAGTCTAGCTCTGTCCTTGTCTAAAAAGGTGTCAAATTACTAATTGCGGTCGACTTAAGTAGCAAAGAACGATATCCGACCGACTTTACGACCTCACAAGATCCCTTTCAGCGACAGTACATCTACAGGGTGTCCCAAAAGTCGGAGAGGAGCCGGAAATGGGGGGTAGCTGAGACGATTCTGAACAACAATTTCCTTTGCAAAAATGTCGGATGGGGCTTCGTTAAGGAGATATTAAGCGAAAACCCCGACCAATCAGAGCGCGCGTAGACCGTTCGAGCGGCCGCGGTAGCGAAGGTTACGCGCTGACGGCCGCGCCTGTACGCGACAAGTGACCTCGACGTGCATCGAAGGACATTGACGCTGCCGCCTAGCGCGTAGCCTTCGCTACCGCGGCCGCTC